CCCTTCAGAAGCCTTCCCTTCTCCAGGCTGACCCAGCCCAGCTCTCTCAGCCTGGCTCCAGAGCAGAGCTGCTGCACCCCTCATAGCATCTCCATGGCCTCCTCTGGCCTTGCTCCAACAGCTCCACATCCCTCTTGTGTTTTTGCCCTCAGAGCTGGATGCAGGACTGCAGAGGGTGCTCAGCCTGCTGCAGGCCTTCCATACATTAACCCAGCAGACCCAGTTTAGGTGTGAAAACACAGGAGGATATCAGGACCTGACGCAGAAGAAGGGCTCCCTGCTGCATCACAGCCCCTGGGCTCACCAGCACAGCTCTGAGGCTCCAACAGAAAGACCACCTAAAAGAAAACCTACCCTCCCATCTCTGACTGAGGGGTGGTTTTGGTGATGACAATGGTTTTCCCCAGCTTTGATTCCAGGTCCACTTTGTAGTCTCGGTGCCGCAGAAGTTCCCTTTTGACGGGCTGGGCTGGTTTGCCTAAAACACAAGCAAAAAGGCAAAGTGTTTCTCAGAAAAGGCTAAGCTCACCATACTGAGTTCACGTTGCCCTTGCTGAAAAGGGGTGCTGGAAACTACTTGATTCAGGCAGAAATTGCACTCTTTTCAAAACCAGTAAAGGAACACTTCCTCCTGACTGGTTCCTGGTTCTTATGAAACCCAGGTTGATCTCTCAGGTATCTCCAGCTCTGACTTGGATCATATTCTGAGATCTTGTCTCCAGGAGCTGATTGCTACTCATCCTCCCCAAAGAACAGGCAGAGGCAAAGGTTCTCAGTAATTACTTTTGGCAAAACAATACATTCATTGGCAAGCACAAGAAAAAGGATTGAAGCAAGCCAGCCTTCAAGTGCTGCTACTTCTCCCTGGGATTCCACGGCTCTCCCCATCTCTCACTAAGGATTTGGGTGACTGGCTGCCAGCTGAGCAGAGCTGTCTGCACTCAGCAGCACACGACTCCCATGAGCAGAGCTTCCTGCATTCAGCTGCACACTGTTCACAGGAGCAGAGCTGCCCACACTCAGCAGCACACGACTCACAAGAGCAGAGCTGCCTGCATTCAACTGCATGCTACACACCTGAGCAGACCTGCCCACGTTCAGCAGCACACTACTCACATGAGCTGCCTGCGCTCAGCAGCACACTACTCACATGTGCTGCCTGCACTCAGCAGCACACTATTCATGGGAGCAGACCTGCCTGCACTCAGCAGCACACTACTCACATGAGCTGCCTGCACTCAGCAGCACACTACTCACCATCTTTCTTTTCTCTCTCTTCCGTGAGCCGCTTCTCTGCAAGTTTCTCGTACTCATCTTTGTCCCACTTTCGGCGGAAGTCCAGGTTCTTGGTCTGAGAAGGAAACAAAGTGTATTAATGATATTAAAGAGTTTGAGCACCTCTGAGGTGAGGCTGGGGAAAGAGGTGGAATCACTTGGCCTCTGAGGCCACAGCAGTGAACTGGGGGCACTACATTATGTCCCCATGCCCTCTGTTTTCACATACAGGAATTAAGGATGTAGCTTCAGAGGATAACACCCAGCCTGTCTGTAGCTACTTCTTCTAGAAGGATTTCAAAGTCCTGAGGAAAGTAATGAGTTTATGTTAACAGCTCCCGAGACGATCATTCAGGCTTTTGCTTTGAAAACCAGACACAAACAGCATCTCAACTGATTGATCCAAGGCCTCAGCAGTGCCCCTGACAAACATTACACATGCTGTTTCCTAAAGTCAATTAAACCCAAGCTGCAAATATCACATGAGAAAGGTGTGAAACACAACACAAGCTACAAAGGGTTTGATTAAAAGCAGGAGTAGGGCAGGTGATGTGTGTCTACTCTCAGCAGTGTGTCTTCATATTACAGGAATCAAAGCACTCAGTTTGCTGTGAAATCACAGGACCCAGTATCAGACAGTCAAAGTGGTTTGGGTTGGAAATGACCTTAAAGCTCAGCTCAACCAGTTCCAACCCCTGCCACAGGCAGCGACCCCTTCCACTGGAGCAGCTTGCTCCAAGCCCCTGTGTCCAACCTGGCCTTGAACACTGCCAGGGATGGGGCAGCCACAGCTTCTCTGGGCACCCTGTGCCAGCGCCTCAGCACCCTCACAGGGAAGAGCTTCTGCCTAAGAGCTCAGCTCAGTCTCCCCTCTGGCAGGTTCAAGCCATTCCCCTTGGCCTGTCCCTACAGGCCCTTGTCCCAAGCCCCTCTCCAGGTTTCCTGCAGCCCCTTTAGGCACTGGAGCTGCTCTAAGGTCTCCCCTTCAGGAGCCTTCTCTTCTCCAGGCTGACCCAGCCCAGCTCTCTCAGCCTGGCTCCAGAGCAGAGCTGCTCCAGCCCTCGCAGCATCTCCGTGGCCTCCTCTGGACGCTCCAAGAGCTCCAGGTCCCTCTTGTGCTGCTGCCCCAGAGCTGGATCATGACTGCAGGGGGGTCTCCCCAGAGTGCAGCAGAGGGGCAGGATCCCCTCCCTTGACTGCTGCTCATGCTCTGGGGGTGCAGCCCAGCACACAGGGGGGTTCTGGGGTCAAACACACACCGAAGCCAGATCATGAGGAGCTTCTTGTTACCCACCACTCCAAGTCCTTCTCCTCAGGGCTGCTTCATCCAGTCTCCCCCAGCCTGTGTCTGTGTTTGGGTTCTGTGTGCTTGGGTATGGGTTTTTCAAGCAAACAAACATACAAGCAAACCAGAAAAAGCTCTAAAAGCCCATCTGTGAAGGCAGGGCATGGAGGTACCAGGGAAGCCCCTGTACCAACTGCCAGTAAGCCATCCTGCTCCTGCAGTTTCACACTGCAGACATGCAGGGAAGGGAGCAACTCCCCCCCCCCCCCCCCCCGCCATGGCAGACTGGCCCTATGGCAGCTGTGCAGAGCACACTCACTGGCAGCCACAGCACAAGCTGTGTGAAGAGAAGCTGGATTTGGGTGAAGCTGGCACTGAAGAATACAAAGACTTCTTTTTAGGAGGAATTTTTACCCCAGTTATCAACACCGAGGACAGAAGGGACTGGATAGGAATCCCTCTTCCATTCACATCTACTCTCCCCAAACCAGCACAGCCTCTTCCCTGTGCCCACCCTGTCTACTTAGAACCCAGATACTTCTTCACTCAGACCCTTCACTGCCTTGAGAAGACAGCTCTCACCTGGTTATAAAGCTGTGTTTCACTCAGCATGGCAGTGAGAGGCTCAGTTTGATATTAAGAAAAGGGTGGATGTATTTGAAAACACCTCTGGGAAAGAAGGACCTCCCCCTCCAGCCTAATCAGAAACACTATCACAATCCAGTGGGAATAAATCCCATTTGAAGCTACAGCAGCAGCACAGTCATTTAATGTTTTCTCCTCTGGCAATCCTTCAAATGGAACCAACAACTACTGATAGCAATGAAAACGCCTCAGGGAGGCATCAAAACAGTCTCATTTCTTCCCAGAGCTTCTTAAGCACTTTAAGCATGTCAGAGCAGGTTTTATTAACCCCCCTGAGCAAGAGAAAGGAAAATATCACAGAGTGTAAATGAATGTTTGGGGGGTTTGTCCAGGCTCAAGCCTCTCCCACACAGCAGCACATTATCACACATCACAGCTGGCAGGAGGTGATTTACTCACTTGCTGCTTCACTCTCCTGTTGTAATAAAAGGGAAGGAGTTTCTCAAGGCTCTTTTATCAACCTCTCTCATCCAGGCAAAGAGAAAAAGAAATTAAACCCAACTGTGTAACAAGATCTCAGCAGGATATTATCTGAAGGAACTTTGCTTGATTGGCCTGGTGCAGGCAGGGGCGGCTGCAACCCCTAAAATCTTCATTTAAGAGCTGCTTTGGGGGACAGAGAGTATTTCCTACATAAGTAGGGACATTATAAAGCAGGAGTATCCCACAGCCTGCTCCCTCTGGAGATAAGAGGCCAAGTAACATGCCTGGTATCAGCATCAAAGCCTGTAAGGTAACACAGAAGGCTTGAGCCTGGCTCAGTTTAACAGGAATAGAACCACCAGTAGCTAAGGATAAATCCTAGGCCCCGTCTTGCTCCCGGCTGATGTCTTGCTCTTGACTTCTCTCAGCACTGCAAGTGGCTTCAAGTGAAGGAAAGATCAGCCCAGAAAACAGGCCAGCACAGCCCCAGCAGTGCTAACAGCTGTCGGGGCATTATCGGAGTGTTTACACCAGCCTGGCTACACCAACAGCATCCATCTCATTCATCCAACATCAAATCCTGCAGGATTCGTAAATGCAGAAAGACCTTGCTGCCACACTACACAAACCAAGCAACGCCAATAAAAGCAACCAGTTACACGGGAGCTACCAAAAACTCAAGGCACGGAAAGGGCAGTTTCTCTATCCAGGAACTTCGTCAGGGCAGCGAGAGGCAGCGGGACACAGGCAGCAGAGTGGGATAAGAAATAAAAGGAGGGAGCTGCCTGCGGGAGCCATCGCCCAGCCCCGGGAGGGCCCCAGCAGGACTTCTCGACGCCACCCGGCCAAACAGCGGCTCCCACGGCGGAGGCCTGGCCCCAGGGAGAGGAAATCGAGCCGGGGCCCTGAAGGTGCCGGGACCTCTCCAAGAGCCCCAAACCTACCCCGCGCCCCACACAGCGGTCGGAACAGCAGGGCTGGAGCCTCTGCACAAGCCGCTGCCCGCCCCGGCTCCCCCCGGCCCCGCCGCGTCTCCACCCGAGGGGTCCCTCACCCCGCGGCCTGGCGCAGGCCCCGAGCACCTCCCGGCGGCAGCGGAACAACCCTTCCTGCCGCCTGCCCCTCCGGAGCGGCCTAAGCCGCCGCGGCTCTGCCCTAGCCCAGGATGTACCGAGCAAAGGGGAAAGCACCAGGCTCGGCCCCACCGCCAACACCTACCCCGCTGCCCGACGCCATGTTGAGGGTAGGGGCGACGAGGGACCGGAAACTGTCGTGCGGTGGCGGCCGGGCCGTAAAGCGAGGCAGTCCGCTCCAGCACCAAGTACCCGCCGTGCTGGCTTAGAGCGGTGTGAGTCGGGGCCGCTGAGAGGTCACGTGGCTCCGCTGTTTCCGGTCTCCTCGGGACCGGCCATGCTGCGGCTGGTGCCGCTCGGCGCCGGGTGGCTGCTACCCGTGGGCCCCACCGCGCCCCGGGTCAACCAGGCCCGGGCATGGCTGCTCGGGTACGGCGGGCTCCTGCCTTGGCGGGCGGCCGCGGGCTCGGCCGGGGGCGGCTGGCGCCCGGTTCTGAAGACACCCAAGGTAATTGTGGGGAGCGGGTCCTGCGGTTACCGGGAGTTGTTCTTCCTGGTCCCCGCCGCTGACGGCCGCTCTCCGTCCCGGGCCAGGGCACCCGCGATCACCCCCCGGCGCACACGGCGCTCCGTGACCGGCTGCTCGCCGCCGTGGTGACCTGCTTCAAGCGGCACGGCGCGGCCGCCATCGACACCCCCGTGCTGGAGCTGCGGGTGAGACGGCGGCTGGAACCCCTTTTGCTTCTCGGGAACCGGGCTGTGGGGTCCCCTCTTGTAGCACTGGGGAGTGTTCCGCTTCCCCGGGGCTGAGAGGGCAGATTTGGGCAGTGTGGGGAGATCCCCGCCTTTTCGGACATACTGGGCAGGGGACAGTCTCTCTGGGGTCACCAGTGGGGAGCGGGGAATGCAGATGAGGGCTCACTTGTGCCCCAGGTCAGAGGGAGCTGAAGGCAGGGATGATGTGTGTTGTGTCCTCTCTGCTTGAGCCGTGGAGCGTGGGGGGCCGGGTTCTGGGTCTGTCCCCCATCCTGGTCCATTATCATCCCTTTGCCTCCCGACAGGAGACGCTGATGGGGAAGTACGGGGAGGAGGCAAAGCTCATCTATGAGCTGCAGGACCAGGGAGGGGAGCTGCTGGCCCTGCGCTACGACCTGACTGTATCCTGCTCTCTGCACCTTATTCTCACCGGAGGGGGGGGTGGGGGGTGGCACCCTGGGGCTGCTGCCACCCTGGGGCTGCTGCCACCCTGGTGTTCTTGGGTTGCCCTTGCCCTGCCCACAGGTCCCAGCAGGGTGACACAAACCTCCTTTTCCTCCTGTACTACCCAACCCACCTGCCCAGTGCCTCAGCAGTGGTTTTGAGGAAGCAGCAGGGTTTGCTGCTGGGATATCCCAGGTGCCTTCCCTAACTTCACCAAAAAGCATTCAGTGTCTGTGCTGTACCTTGAGTTCTCTCTGAGGCAAGAGGACTGATCAGCTCTGGGGCAACAGCACAAGAGGGACTTTGAGCTGTTGGAACGAATGCAGAGGAGGCCAAGAAGATGCTGTGAGAGCTGGAGCAGCTCTGCTCTGGAGCCAGGCTGAGAGAGCTGGGCTGGGGCAGCCTGGAGAAGAGAAAGCTCCTGAAGGGGAGACCTTAGAGCAGCTCCAGTGCCTAAAGGGGCTGCAGGAAACCTGGAGAGGGGCTTGGGACAAGGGCCTGCAGGGACAGGCCAAGGGGAATGGCTTGAACCTGCCAGAGGGGAGACTGAGCTGAGCTCTTAGGCAGAAGCTCTTCCCTGTGAGGGTGCTGAGGCGCTGGCACAGGGTGCCCAGAGAAGCTGTGGCTGCCCCATCCCTGGCAGTGTTCAAGGCCAGGTTGGACACAGGGGCTTGGAGCAAGCTGCTCTAGTGGAAGGGGTCCCTGCCTGTGGCAGGGGTTTGGAACTGGCTGAGCTTTAAGGTCCCTTCCAACACAAACCAGTCTGGGATTCTGTGAGATGACTTAGCAAAGGTCTGTGTCTGCAAGGTGTTCACATGCTGTGGTTCAGAGGAAGATCAGTGGAGTTGTCCTGGTGTTGGAGGAGCTCAGCATGGTTCATCATGCTCGTCATCAGCCCACGCTGATGAACTCCCTGGAGAGCAGAGAGCAGCTGCGAAGGGGAGATGAGGAGCTTTAAGGTTCAGCTTTCTGTGCAGCTCAAGGGATCATCTTGTTCTTGTCCTTAACTCCTTGGGCCTCCAGGTGCCCTTCGCTCGCTATCTGGCGATGAACAAGATCACCAACATGAAGCGCTACCATATCGCCAAGGTCTACAGGAGAGACAACCCAGCCACCACCCGGGGCCGCTACCGGGAGTTCTACCAGTGCGTGAGTGTTGTGGTGGCCGCTGCTTGGGGGGTTCTGATGTGGGTTTTTGGATCACCATCAGCAGCTGCAGGATGTGGTTTGCAGAGCCAAAGCACCTGAGCTGTGCCAGGAGCCTCTGCTGCTTCTTCTGCCCCCAGGACTTTGACATTGCCGGGCAGTTCGACCCCATGATTCCTGATGCCGAGTGCCTGAAGATTGTGCATGAGATCCTGAGTGACCTGCAGCTCGGGGACTTCCTCATCAAGGTGAGCTCAAAGCTGAGGGGTTTCCATACCTCTGGGCCTTCTCTTCCCAGGGGATTGAAAAGGCAAGAGGGAACACCCAGTGGCTTCAGTTTCCTGTAGCTCTGGGACAGGAAGGAATGGTGGTGGGTCTCCTGGAGCTGAGTGTCCCGCTCCCATTCCAGGTCAATGACAGGAGGATTTTGAATGGGATTTTTGCTGTCTGTGGCATCCCAGAGAGCAAGTTCATAACAACGTGTTGTACTGTGGACAAGCTGGACAAGGTGAGAGCTGGGCTCATGGGGTAATGCTCGCAGTCTCACAGGGTGCATGTCTTGGGCTGGGCAGTGTCAGGGCAGCTTTTATCATGCAGAGTTTGACAGCAGCTCAGCTGTTGGTGTCTGTGAAGGATTTGGGGAACTCTTGGGCATCACTGAGGAAAAACCTGGTGTCCCAGTGATTCCTGTTAGCAGTTCCTGTGGGAGATGTGGATCATGAGTGACTGCTGACTGCTGTCCTGCATGTGTGGTGAATACACAGACTGGTGGAAACTGGGTGATGAGAACCTGCAGGAATGGCGCTTCTCTCCCTTCACAGGTGCCATGGGAAGAAGTGAGGCGTGAGATGGTGGGAGAGAAGGGGCTCTCCCCTGAGGCTGCGGATCGCATCGGGGAGTACGTTCAGCTTCATGGTGAGCGCTGGGGCGTCAAGCCCTTGGCTTTGCTCCTCCAGGCCAGGCAGGCAGATCTGGGGACACAGGGGTGCTGTTAACCCTGTTAACAGAGTCTCATTGCCACAGGTGGCCTGGAGCTGATCGAGCGGCTGCTCCAGGACCCAAAGCTGTCCCAGAACAAGCTGGCCAAGGAGGGGCTGGGGGACATGAAGCTGCTCTTTGAGTACCTGACCCTGTTTGGCATCACAGGGAAGGTGAGCAGGGGCAGGGGTGGGAGGGGCACAGCCCAGCCCCCCCGAGTGCAGGCAGTGATGGGGTTTCCCTTGTGCCCTGCAGATCTCGTTCGACCTGAGCCTGGCGCGGGGCCTGGACTATTACACGGGGGTGATCTTTGAGGCGGTGCTGCTGCAGCAGGAGAACGAGCACGTGGAGGAGCCTGTGAGCGTCGGGAGCGTGGCTGGAGGTGGCCGCTACGATGGGCTGGTGGGGATGTTCGATCCCAAGGGACGGAGGGTGCCCTGCGTGGGGGTCAGCATTGGGATCGAGCGGATCTTCTCCATCCTGGAGCACAGAATGAAGGTTGGTGCTGCAGCAGTGCCTGAAGGAGGGTCTAGGAAGCCAGCTCTTTTTTATTATGGAGCTTTACAGCTCAACTGTGTTCAAGGGGAAAGTATTTTAGGGGACAGGGTGGCTCATCTCATGCCTGAATGTCCATGCACAGAAGATAGAGCCCTGTTCTGCAGCCCAGCAGGATGCAGGTGTGGGCTGCATTTCATAGCAGATGCCCTGGAAGCATTAGAGATGAGCCCTGAGCTCTGGTCCTGGCTCCAAACTTTGTGCTCCAGTCACTTTGCTCTTGTCTCTTGCCTGTGAAGTTTTCTGTCCTGGGGATTGTGAGGAATTCAGTAGCAGCTGTAGCACTCTGTAATGTGCCCCAAATTCATCACTATGTGTTCAGTTCTGAGGTGTGATTCACAGCAGATGAAGCTGGGGCAATGTGTTTGTGCCTGAAGAATCAAAGGCAACATTAGAAAGCTGGCCAGGTCCCATCTGGGAGGGAGGGAGGAAAACCAAAGTCCCACAGGAACAACAGCACGTAATTGAAATAGTGTGTCACGATGCAGCTTCTCTGGGGGACTCATTAAATGTGCCCAGGTTGCTTTACCTGTGTGCTCTCTTTGCTGTGGAAGGTCAGCCTTGCTTAGTAACATCCACCAAGTGGTGATGGTTGGCTTTTACTTGTTTTGGGGAGCTAAGTCAGGGTCTGAAATAAGGTGAGATGAGCTTCTGTTGTGAGCTGTAGGTTCCCTTGGAGCCAGTCACTGCCACGAGTGTCTGTTCCTGCAGGCTTCTGGGGAGAAGGTTCGAACAACGGAGACACAAGTGCTGGTGGCTACACCTCACAAACACCTACTTGCTGCAAGACTGAAGCTCATCTCCGAGCTGTGGGGTGCAGGGATCAAGGTAAAGTAAGGACTTGGGCTTGGCACTGATATGGGTGAGAGAGGGAGAGCCTGAAGGGAGCTGTAGCACAAGACCAGCTCCATTAGTTGTGTCTTTTCAAGATCTGTGTTTGAGATCTAGGAGGTAGGAACAGCTGAGAGCACTAAAGGCAACTGCTTGCTGCAGGTGTTGATGCTGGTTGTTTTGCTCCCAAAACCCATCAGAGCAAATTCTGTGTTAATGATTCACCTTTTCCACTCTGTGCTAGGCAGAGATGCTGTACAAGAAGGATCCTAAACTGCTGAAGCAGCTGCAGTATTGTGAGGACACAGGAATCCCCCTTGCTGCCATTGTAGGGGAGCAGGAGCTGACAGATGGAGTCGTCAAGCTGCGAGATGTTGCAACAAGGGTGGAGGTGAGAATGCCTTTTTTTATACCTGTTTCCAAAAGTGCTGCCAGAATGCAGAGGTTGGTGAAGGGCTCTGTGTTTTGCCTCAGTGATGTTCCCTTGGGCAGCTGCAGCACAGATCTGTTGGGTGACTGCTCCAGAAAACTGGTCACCATCTGCTTTGGTAACAGCAAGTCCTTGGGGCCAGATTAAACCATGCTCTGCTCAAGGGTCCACTGCTGCTACCTCCTCCTCCCCCTTTGCTTTTCAGGTTGATATCCCAAGAGAAAAGCTTGTTGATGAGATCAGAAGAAGGCTGGAGCCTTAGGACTCTTCAGGTCAGAGCTACTTGCCTGAGCTGCTGTACAGCTGGAACCCTCAGCACCCTTAGCACTTACTCCCTGCTGGTGACTGGTCAATATTTACCATCCTAAGCCTCATCTGCAGTGTCAACATGGGCTGTCTGCTTGGAAAGGAGCAAGTGGGCTTTAAAGGTTACAGACAGTGCAGTCGCCAGGTTAACCTTGTGGTTAACTGCTCTGAAAGATGCGTCAAGACTGGGGGTTCCTGCTGTTGCCATACCTGTGACTGCAGTGCCGGTGGTGCCAGGGGGGCACAGATGGATGTGGTGCAGCGGCAGCAGGATGGGGCTGAGCTCTGCAGTGTGTGTGGGGTTGTGCAGTGCGAGTCCAGAGGCTCAGGATACAGGGAGTGGGTGGCAGTGGAAGCCACCTCCCATCTGCTGAGGGCTGCAGCGGCCAGCCCCAGCCTGTGGGGAGCACAGCCTCGGGGTGGGACTGGGCCGGGCGCTGGGGCAGGCTCCGGCCGGGGTCGGGCGTGCGGGAACCCTGTGTTTTATACATTAAACCTGAAGCAAACCGCAGCCGCTCTCGAGTGGTTCCTGAGGCGCGGCCCCGCTGCTATGGCAACGCGCGGGCACGGTCGGGGGGGGGGGGGCGGTGTTGCGCATGCGCAGTAGCGGCTCGACCACGGCGCGCAGGCGCGGGCCGGCAATGGCGGAGGATGCGGCGGTGCGGGCGCAGGCCGAGGTGGTGCGGCGCCTCAAGCACGATAAGGCCGATGCCGACGAGGTGCGGCTGGCGGGGCTAGGGGGTTGCTGTGTGAATGGGGGAGGACCAGTATGGCTGGAGACTGGTGTGACTGGGAGCAGGAAGCTGGACCGGGCGGAGCAGACGGGGGGTGCTGGGATGGGGCATGGAGGTTTCTGCGGAGTTGGAGGTACTGGTGCGGGGCTGGAGAGGGGGCTGCTGTGATTGGGGTGTGGTTGCTGGGCTCACGTGCTGAGGGAACTGGCAGTACTGGTGTAGGTGTTGCTGGGCTGGATGTGGTGGCAATGGGGAAAGGGGTGTGGGAGCCCTGGTCTGGGACGGAGAGCAGAGGGACTGAGGCCCTGGAGGGAGCTGGGAGTGGGAAGTGGTGATGCTGGTGTTAGGCTGAAGAAAGAGAGGCTTCGGGTGTCAGGATTGGGAGGAGGATGCTGGAGACTGCTGATGCTGGGGTGGACGTAGCAGGAGCTGGTGGGATGTGAGGTAGGGGCACTGGGGGGGTGCATGTTGAGGGTAATGGAGGTCGTGGAAGGCAGAGACTGGTGGGGATGTTGGGGGTGCTGAGACTGGGGGGCTCGTAGCAGAAGTGGGGAGTCCTGGAGAGGAGCAGGGAGTGTCCCTCTGGTTGCTGTAGGAGACTGGGATTAGTGCATGTATTGATGTTAGGGAGTCTGGGTATACTGGGAATGCTGAGGCTGAAGGTACTGGGGGAGGCCTGTGGGCTGGGCCTGGCAGGTGGGTTTACCCTCGGTTCCCTCCTTGCTGCCTTTCCAGATTGCAAAGGAGGTGGCAAAGCTGCTGGAGATGAAGGCCCAGCTGGGAGGAGATGAAGGGAAACACAAGTTTGTACTCAAGACCCCAAAGGTAACTTCCCCCAGCACACACCTCTCTGTGTGCACAACCTCCCCCACATCTGTGTGTGCAAACCCTCAGCACAGGCTGGCCTGACTGTGCTCTCATTTCTGTTCCCTTTTAGCAGCAAGGGAGAGAGGGTTGAAAATAACCCCAGAGACCCTAATAATGTAAAGACTTTCTGGTGCTTCTGTGACAAGCCAACCACTAGCTGGTGTGGTCAGAAAACTAAATTCTCCTTTGGCCAAGTGTTATTGTAGCTGCCCAGTGTGAGAGGTCTCGTATCTGCTGGGATTGCACTGTCTGAAATAAGGTTATGACACTGCATTGCCTGATGAGTTTAAAGGTTAGGACTCCAGATCTTGCAGCACTGACCCTACTACAGGGGCTGTAGGGACAGGAAAAGGGGGAATGGCTCTAACCTGCCAGAGGGGAGACTGAGCTGAGCTCTTAGGCAGAAGCTCTTCCCTGTGAGGGTGCTGAGGCGCTGGCACAGGGTGCCCAGAGAAGCTGTGGCTGCCCCATCCCTGGCAGTGTTCAAGGCCGGGTTGGACACAGGGGCTTGGAGCAAGCTGCTCTAGTGGAAGGTGTCCCTGCCTGTGGTGGGGGGGGTTGGAACTGGCTGAGCTTTAAGGTCTCTTCCAACCCAAACCAGTCTGGGATTCTATGACCACATAAGTACCTGCAGACTGGCACTCCTGGATCAAGGATCCTTAAGCTGATCCTGTTCCTTGTTAATGCAGACAGTGGATGGAGCTGCTGCTGGTTTGGGTGAGCATGGGGTGCTGCAACATGCAGCTCTGCTGGTGTAAGGCTTGTTGTGGGGGATCTGCAAAGCATAAACCCTGGTGGTATTTGCCAGGACTGGTCAGCACTTGTTGAAATGGGGGGAGCATGAAAGGTCTCGTGGCTTTTGGTCTTGCCTTAGCCAGTGAGGGTGGGTAATCCCATTTACTAGCTGCTGACATTGGTGTTCTCTTGCAGAAGGACCCTTCCTTCAGGGGTAGCTCTTCAGTCTGCAGGCCTCTGAGATTAGTGTCCATAGTGCAGTTTATCCTGAAATTGTTTGTAGCCTGAATGTTTTCATCACTAGCAGCTGACCAGAGATCAACTGTGTCCATGTGGAGACAGGAATTTTGTTGGCAAACCAATCAGTTTAATGTCTCAAAACTGTCTTCTTTGTCCGTTTCCTTTGTATGTTTTGGTAAATGTAACTGGGGTGAGGGCTGGAAGGGTATTTTACATTTAAAGATGAGAGAGGATGTTACAGCTCTGTGAGTGCCAGGGAAGCCTGGTTTGGGTTTCCACCTGCCTCAGCCACGTCAGTGTACGGCTGGAAGCTGCTCTTCGCTGTGCGACCTGCAGGTGGGGTGTCAGGAAGCGCCTGCTCACTGCTTCCTCCTGTCTGAGCCCCAGCCCCTGGAAGATGCAAGTGGGAGGTCTGGTTAGTTTACAGTGATCTGTGTGTTGCTGAGAGCCTAAAAGTGGTCACTGAAATAATGCAGTGACTCTGAACAGTGAAGGAATTAAAAGGGAGCACATCCCAGTGAACAGCAGATGGGTATTTCACACTTTGAACAGATGATTTTTCTCTGTGTGTGTTTGGAAGCTGTGGAGTTGTTCCATGGCTCCAAAATGTGCCTGCCCTCTAATTCCACCTCTTGATGTGGCTGGTTTTGCAGGGGTCTGGCTGACATTGGATTCAGAGCTGTGGGCACATCCAAGTTGCACTGTCATGCTCCAAAGCATGGAAGCCTCTGACAGTTGGGTCTGTGTTAGCTCCTTTATTTCCTGTAACATGAAAGTCCTGACTTAGATTAAGCTCTGCAGACCCTAGCAGGTTGTTTCTGAGCTGCATCCTGATGTTTTCCAGTAGATTTTAGTGCTGCTTTTTACCATTTCTCCTGACATTTGGTGTCTGCACCTGATTTGTCTGGTTTTATTAGCACTGTGATAGCTTATTCATATTGCCTCTTAAGTCTGTCTCCACTACCTGCCTCTAACCCAGTGTGTCTTTTGCTCTCCTTTGCCTTCTTTCAATCCAGGGCACACGGGACTACAGCCCCAAGCAAATGGCCATTCGTGAGAGGGTCTTCAATGCAATCATATCCTGCTTCAAGCGCCATGGAGCAGAAGTCATTGATACACCAGTGTTTGAGCTGAAGGTGAGTGAGGGCACAGCAGGTTGCTGAGCTGATGAGGATCCTGTAGTTAAAAGCCTGTGGTGTGTTGAGGGCTGAGTTTTATTCGTCCATCTCCAGGTGTCTTCCCTGTCACTGAAGATGCTGTTTGTTCATGTGTCCTTTTGTTGTAGGAGACACTGACAGGGAAATACGGTGAAGACTCGAAGCTCATCTATGATCTGAAAGATCAAGGAGGAGAGCTGCTGTCCCTGCGCTACGACCTGACAGTATCCTGCCATAGCCAATGCTGAGGGGGCTCATCACCTTTGCTGCCCTCCTTTTGGGGCTGTGCTGTCCAGTGGGTAGGGGAGGAGGAGGGAGGATGGTCTTTTTGTTCTGACTCTGTCCTGACAGGGAGAGCCTGAGCAGGCAGTGTGATTCAGTGGGTGCAGGAGCCTCTTCCAGTTACTTATGTTTCTTCAGTGAAGTAGTGCTACCAGTGCCTGAAGGGGCTACAAGGAAACCTGGAGAGGGGGCTTTGGAAAAAGGCCTGTAGGGACAGGAGAAACAAAATGGCTTTAACCTGACAGAGGGGAGATTGAGGTGAGCTCTTAGGCAGAAATTCTTCCTTGTGAGGGTGCTGAGGCGCTGGCACAGGGTGCCCAGAGAAGCTGTGGCTGCCCCATCCCTGGCAGTGTTCAAGGCCAGGTTGGACACAGGGGCTTGGAGCAAGCTGCTCCAGTGGAAGGGGTCCCTGCCTGTGGCAGGGGTTTGGAACTGGCTGAGCTTTAAGGTCCCTTCCAACACAAACCACGCTGATTCTATGATTAACGGCAGCATGTGCAGGCCATGTCTTGGGCAGTTGTGGAGACCTTAGGAGCTATGGAAAATCCATCTCTCAGCAGTTGCTTTGTCCCAGGGTGGGCGCCACACACTGTGCTGGGTGTTGGAGAGATAGTGAGCACCCAGCACTGCCTGTGACTGATAACTGGGTGGGGTGATCCCTCTCTGTTCCAGTCCTTAACCCAACCATCCCAGGTGCCCTTCGCTCGCTATCTGGCAATGAACAAGATCACCAACATCAAGCGCTATCACATCGCCAAGGTCTACAGGAGAGACAACCCAGCCATGACCAGGGGCCGCTACCGGGAGTTCTACCAGTGTGTGAGTTTGGCCACTGAGAGGGACACTGCTGAGTGAGGCTGGGCAGTGCTTGTGGGGACCCAGCATCAAAGGCTGGGTTACCTGTTGTGGAAAGCTCAGGAGAATCCACTCATCTGCTCTTTAACGTGCCCTTATGGGTGTGAAAAACAGCTTGAGAGTGGCAGAGTGAGGATGGCTGTGACACAGTGTGCTGGTGTATGAGGGCCTGTGTAATACAGCTTCTAGGTGCCCCA